GAGAGAGAGAGAGAGAGAGAGAGAGAGAGAGAGAGAGAGTCTCCTTTTGGGGGGGGAGTGGTAATTTGCCAAATGCCCCCATAAGTTGAGATATATGCCAAAATGTCCCTAAAAGATATGGACACAGTGGAATGGCCTTTTGGGCTGAGATGTTTGTCTTATGCCCCTGTCTGGCGGGTGTGCAAATCCGCTTGGCCTTTTGCAATTGCACCTAGGAGAAGTTGGCAACTGCCTGGCCATTTTGCAAAGTTGGGAAGCCTCCGGTAGGGGTACATTGCAAAGATGGTATCCAACTGATGGCTGCTGTGTTTCACAAAATGTTTTTGTCATTGTGGTTTGCCGCAGCGTAGCTGCGGCAGGTCCACTTGTAAAAAAATCTATGGGCCCTCCGGTTTTCAGATTTTTTTTTCACGCATTCTTCTGAGTGCGAAAAGTCGCTTAAGTCGAGTACTTTTCCTCCTGCAAAAGTCGCTTTGGTCTGCACGTGGCAGTGGGAAGGTAAGAAGTGTGCCAGATTGGTGTAGCGATTTTTTCACGATTTTATGTCATTTTTCTAATATTTTTCCTGGAAAGATCAGGACCTAACCTAACGGTTGTCAAATTACAGATTTTTCTGTTCAATCTTCTGAGTGCAAAAAATGGCCAAAGTGGGCGCTCCTTTTTTTTTTTTTTTCCAATTGCGGCTGACCTTCACTTTCCTTGGGCCTGCCGCCTCCAAAAGGACCAAATGGCCTGGAAAGCTTTTGTTCCCAGGGTTGGAAAATGTCAGGATAGTGGTTAGCCAAATTCTGTCTCTGGGCATGCCCCAACACCTGCACCTAAACTGGGTAATGGTCCCAGCATCAGTCTGCATCCGGGTTGTTTTGTGGAGGGATTCCGGCTTCCTGGGGCGAGGTCCCATTAGCAATGGGATAGGATAGAAACGAGTTTGTGGGGCAGTTGAGTGACCCAAATCCTTCCATGCAGCACTCGTGATCCCACACTCAGTATTTTACATGTATTGCTCGAAAAAGTAAGGAGATCTTTGTTCCCCTCCTCCTTTCCTTAACACTGGGCATGCCCATGCAAAGAAAGCTTCCCGCCAGAAACTTTTCAATCGGTTGGGGTCGGCGTTAGGTCCACTGGATAGAAGATTTTCAGTATTTTACTTGCTGTTGTGGAATTATCCCATTGGGTGGAGCCCTCCTTCAATCATGGAGTATATGGAGAGTGTCAGGATCGCTGCGGACAGAAGTCAGGTTTATTGAACTTTACTCCAGAAAATGTGGCGGTTACTTTGTTCGCTGTTGTTGCAACCACCACCAGCAGATCATTTGTGATCTGATGGCTGGGAAGCATTCTGCCGTGATTACTGGTGGGAGGTCTCTGTTTCTTTTTTTTCTTTTGCCTTTCTCCTATTTTTTCAGCACAGAAATTCGTAATGAATGTGTCAGCCCGCTGCCACTCAGTGTCACACTGGATTGGCCACACTCCTATCCGATTGCTAATGGGACCTCGCCCCTGGTCTTTTCGTCTTTGGTAATAAAAGGTTCATCTGTTTGTACAAAAAAAAAAAAAAGAAAGGCCCGGAAAGCATGTTTTCACCTGTCAAGGGGAGTGGTGGTTTAACCGTCAGTACTGCAACAACAGCTTTGTTAACCAGTCTCAAATATTTTGTTGGAGGCCACAAATAGCCTTTGAGGTGCAGGGACAGGGCCGGTATATTCCCAGTGGAGATTCACTTTAGCCGCCTGCTCTGTCTGTGGCTGGGTTTGGGAGAGGTGCTGCTGGCTAGATTCGGCACCCTAGGGTTGGGGATGCTGGTGGTTTGATTTGCGACCTGCATAGGGGTACAGGCATTGGGTGTCAGGGCTAGTGTGTTGAGCGTAGCTTTTCAACTTTTGACAGGCCATCAAGATCACTTTTGTTTCCTTGATTCATAAAACGATTTTGATGTACCTGAAGTGTTGAGGGGTTGTGGAGTGGTCCGTGTGGTGGAGAGAGAGGTGCTGCTGAGCTCTTTTTTTTTTGTTTTTAATAAGTAAGCTATATTTTCTCTCAATTTCACCTCGCACTACCTACCTACCACTTTTGACAGGCGATCACAAGCACTTTTGTTTTCCAATACATAAAACGATTTTGATGTACCTGAAGTGTTGAGGGGCTGTGGAGTGGTCCGTGTGGTCGAGAGAGAGGTGCAGCTGAGCTCCTTTTTTTTTCTTTTTTTTAAAGTAAGCTATTTACTTCTCTCAATTTCACCTCACAGTACCTACCTACCACTACTCCCAATTATAGTCATATGGGGAACCCTGTAGCAACCGTGTTCACGAGGGAACATCTGGGGGCTGCTCTCGACCTGCAGGTGGGCTCTTTCGCTTTCTGGTTGAGAAGCACTGCTGAGTTTGTTTCAATCCCAACGAGTGATGTCTAAGTAATTCTCTTGTACATATCCGTATGTGTACACATAGATGTATAGTTGAGTAGATGTGTGTTCACTTTCTGGTTGAGAAGCACTGCTGAGTTTGTTTCAGTTTGAACGAGTGATGTCTAAGTAATTCTCTTGTACATATCCGTATGTGTACACATAGATGTATAGTTGAGTAGATGTGTGTTCACTTTCTGGTTGAGAAGCACTGCTGAGTTTGTTTCAGTTTGAACGAGTGATGTCTAAGTAATTCTCCTGTACATATCCGTACGTGTACATATAGATGTATAGATGTATAGATGAGTAGATGAGTATATAAATGGGTAGTCAGACAGAATCTGGCAGGCACACAGGCAACAGACAGAGACAGGGGACTGGTCACCCCAGTGAGACATGCCCCGCACAGCTACGGTCGAATAGGTGTGATTAACAATGGGAAGACACAATGAGTGATGGGATCAATATTCTGCACCGCTTTGTCATGCATGCTGGATCAAGGCTGGGTCCCTAACACTAACAGAGAAAGCCTTGACGACATAAACTTTCCATCGCGGCTGTCCTCAGCTCAGGCTGTGAGACAGTCGTGACGGCTGGTCCCTAACACTGCAGAGAAACCCTTTAACATCAGACGTGAATCATAACAATCACTTGGCACATAAATGTGAGTGTGGTTGCTACACCCAGAAAGAAAAAAAAAAGTGGAGGGTTGTTAGGGCGTGCAATGGAACTGGTCGGTAGTCCTAGCAGTGCTCCAGTACTGGTCGGTGCTTCTAGGGTGCGGTTGGTGCATTGTGCGCTGTAGAAGAAGAAAAGTGCTGGAGTGCCGTTAGGCCCTCCGAGGGCAGCTATGAGGTGCGCACAGGACAATGTGTCGTTGTGGGGGCCTGCCAAATGGAGGGCCGGTATGCCCCCCCCATGTATGCGGTGAGAGGATCCACCGGCCCTCCGAATTTTTTTTTTTGTTGGTGGATGGCGCATTGTGCACTGCTCTGCCTATGAAAGGAAATAATCAATATCACACCACCCATGAAAAGATGTGCGTCCTTAAACCACCAGTGCATCTCCTTTCTCTGATGTGCGAATTTATCCGGCACTTCAAAAATTCAACTGTCACAGGCACGAGCTTGGCTGGCACCACCAGTGTTTTTCTGGTAGACCCGACTTGCATTTCTGCGCCGTGCTAACCGCCGCCTCTGCACGACATAGCTGGACCACAGACTGGTGGTTAAACCACCTGTACATCCAAAGCCAATCGACAAACAAAAAATGCCTTTTAAAAGTTGAGCCTGCTTTTGACCGGTACAGCTAGTTGGGAAATCTGAAGTGCTACCAGTACCAGCTGTTTGTGTGAGGAAAGGACAGGCAGGCAGGCTGTCGCATACCGTAAAGGTGGAGACCAGAACAAGAACCAACCTCTCTCACATAGTAAAGGATAGCACATCGGAAGGCTTAAATACCAATGATCTGAACAATCAAGGTTGTAATGCAGACCAAACATACATCATCATCATTCCACGGTCTGAAGGGTCCTGGCGCTCACACAAGAAGAATGCGCTAGTCCCCAACCATACACAGATGAAGAAGAGGGGGGTTAGATGAAGAGGAGGGAACAATGGGAATGTCGTCAGCACCAAGTCTTCTGTACAGGTCCCAAATAATCCCAAGTCAAATGTCTGAATCCCAATGTTGAGTCTGGATCCAATATCGTCAAGTCCCAAAGTCACCCATCTCTCTCTCTCGTAGTCCGCAGATACTGAAAAGTCAGGTAGCGAGAGGGTGAGGAAGAGATGATGGACTTAGAAGAGGAAGAAGAA